GGGAAGTGCTGTCCAAATGTTTGCAAGAGCTTCTGCGCAGTCTCGGGAGATTTGCTATATCTTGATGTAGAAATGTCGGAATTGAGTTCCGTTTGTTACGTTTTTAAACTAGATTCATAGGGATATAAACCGTGTAAATCTCAGATCCTGTTTCTGTTTGTCCAATTTATGGTGATTTTTCAAAGTTGACTGAAATCTTGTACCTGTTCAGCCCTCCACTGGATAAAGCAACAACTTGCGACTTGAATTCGACTGACTTACATTCTGAATCTTACAATAGTGTTTTCTGGAAAGTTATAGCCCTTTGAATGTATTTTCCAATGGTATAACTTTTATTAATTTTGGACTTACAAAACTTGAGATATGATTTTTCATATAAGGTCGCGTGGAACTGGAAAAATTCTGTTTTCCTAGTATTGATCTTGCTTTCTTTATCTACTTCAAAATTGGAGTTGGTCAGTCATTGTAGGAAGGGCTTTGAGGTTGTTCATGCTTTTAAGACTAATTGTTACCTTTTCACTCCGAGGTCGCCTCTTTGCTTTGCATTAATGGTTCGTTTGACTAGGCATATGGCTCGTAACCGAGTCTCACTTGCGAATTCCATACTCGGTCTTGGAGTCGAGTCTTAAGTGTTTGCCTTGATTGTTCTAGGAGGTAACGACGAGTGAATCCACACTTGGGAAGGAAACTTTTGAAATTATCCTTGTTTGATCAGGTGAGTGTGCCACTCCCTTGAGTTATTGTTAAACTGGTTTTCTGTACTTGCAACTTGCTACTTGAATATCTTTCCTGACCGTTTATCTTGTATGAGACGAGGGTGTACTTTATCACACTCGTTCTCTTGCCTGTACTGAACAAACTGGAATCTGTTACTTGTACTTGTTATGTACTTGAACTTGTTACTTGCACTTGTTAATTGATCGTTTGGAAGTGTGTCCACGATCGTCCTATTAAACTTGATCGTCCTGTTAAACTTGAGCTCAACCTCATGAGGAGTTAATTAAATCGAGCCATGCAAGGGTTTGGTCGAGAAAATTGACAATCCATGGGTGTCTGTTTTTATGGAATCTTTGAGTATTGAGACTCTTGATTCCGGTATACTCGAGTATTACCATTCCTGTTTTATTTGGCGTTCGGGCCCGGTAAGGGGGTATGATTGGTGAACGGGATTCGGCGTTAAAGCGGTGTTCTACTGGACTGGTTTTCTTTAGTTGAAAGTTGATGGAGGGTCAACGTAGTCGGATCAAGTACTGCAACGGGAAATTGGCTCCTGAGGGCCATCTGTATCCTTTCTATCTCAGTGTTTACATATCTCCTTAATTGGTACACCTATGTGATTAATTGAGCATGAAGTTCCTTCGTCCTTGACTGTTATTATTTTTGGTACCTCATTGAACTTATAACTCACCCCGTTTTGTTATCCTTGTTTTCCTTACAGGAAAATCTTTTGGGAACAATGATATTTGGAAGCATGAGTTGAGTTAGATTTATATTCTTTTGTATAGCTCCTCAAGAGATATAAACCTTGAATGCATTTTGATCCAACAACTCCCTTTTAATGTGTAATTTTGCAATCATGTATTTATATAAAAGTGTTTAATCAGGTACTTGTGTTACCCGCTCGAACGTGTTCATTCTTTATGGCTACCTGGAGTTTAATGAAATTACTGAGGTTTCGGACGAGTGTAGTATCCAAGTGTGAAAAGAAAAAAAAATAAAAATAAAAATCTGGCAGGGATTTTTACAATATTATGGGTTGGTAAGTTACATTTAACCTGGAGGTTTCCCATTCGTTCGTTTTCTTTGGTTTCTATCACGCGTGCTGTAGAGTTGGGAGTGATTTGACCCCGTAGTCCCGGCGAGAGTTGGGCAGGCGGTCCGCCGAACCCTTTGGTTCGCCTTAGGGGAAGGTGGGGCTGTCACAACCAATAAATTGATGATGGTGGATTTGGGCACCACCGTTTTCCAACTTAAGAACTATTCTCTTCATCGCGGTAGGATTCCTTATTTGAATGATAGATATGGGGTTGAATATTCAACTTGTTATGCCTGTTTCGGGAGAGGATGTTGATGATATATTTAATCAATTACAGGGCGGTAAAGGATATACTGGTATGGCAGTGCTGTGATGCCCGAAGGAAAAGAAAAGGAAAAATTTTCCTTATTTATTTTATTTTTCGTGTGCATTTCTCTTATTTTATTTTATTATCAAAATTTTTCGGAGACTTTTATAAGTGAATATAGTTTTTCAATCATTTTTCTAGTATAAATTAGTTCCTGAGAAATAAAGAGTGTATATTGGACGTGGGTCCCGCTAGTGGCGTTAAGTGCGATAAATTCGACCAATTATGTTATGTTTTGTATACCGGGATTAATATACTAGGTGTTAAGAGATAATTAGAAATTAATCTTGGAGAGACAAAAGGATAAGATTAAAACCCTTGAGGACCATTTGTCACATAACCATTGGACCTTGACTTTTGACCAAGACTTTTTGATCTTTATCTTGGAAAAAAATTGGACAAATTTCTTCATTTCCTTCTTCCTCTTGGCCAACTTCCTTAGCTAGAAAAGAGAGAGAGAAAACCCCAACTTCATCTACCATTTCTTGCTTAGATCTTGCAAACTAATCGATTAAATCTTGAATTAGTCCATAAAATTGACTTGCTAAGGGAGTTTGAAGGTCTTGGTGGAGTTGTTTTGAAGAAAAAAACCCCTAAACTACTACCTTTCTTGAGGTGTCAAGGTACCTTGCTTGGAAACTTTCTCTTTGTTCTTGCTAATGTCAAATTAGTGGCTCTAGTGGCTAAATATGTTGATTTGTGGTAGGTTTTATGGTTGAAAGTGGAGTTTTGATGGATTTTTGATTTATTAGTGATTTTTCTGTTTTTATATCATAATTATTGTTTAGTCATGGATTGATAGCCTGTTATAGTATAAAATGGAGATTGGTATATGTTGGATATGATTGGTTGCGGAAACTTTCAGAGTTTATGCGGAATTTCCAGTTTAGGGTTTCTTCCTACCCTGTTTTTCCCGAACCTGTCAGGCCATGATGGAGGCTGAATCAGCCTTTGCCCAAAACATAAAGGTTGTTGGTAATTGAGTTAGCTAGCTACCTGTAAAATTTCAGCTCAATCGGAGTACTGTAGCATGTGAAATGACTGAAATACCCTTGACTGCCCATGAGCCCTGTTTCGCGCCCAGATTTCTGTTTTCGTGAAAATTTCCATTTTTGACCATGAAAATGCATGATTTGGCTTTGGAGGTCTTCATAAGAAATATAGGGTTATGTCTTGGCTTCGAAACGCCATAAGATTCGTTTCAATTCGATAAGTGTAGCTTCAGTTATGGATATTGTGCCGAAAGGTGTATTTGATAGTCTATGATGTGTATGTGATTGATTTGAGATGAAATGGTGTTGCTTGTAAGATGGAAAAGTAAGGAAATGTAGGGGAAATGCTGTCCGATCTTTGAAAGCATTTGATTTCTTTGAGTTTGAGTTGAAGGCCTTGGACTTGATCGAGAAAATTGTCTATGATGGATAAGGATTATGAGCCGTGGTTGGTGAGTGCCCCCAAACTATTTCCAAAGTAACTTATGAACTGTTTCTTGCATTATTTACTCAATTGCATATCATATGTGCTTGCATGTGAGTTCATGACATGTTTTGGCTTTAATGAGTTCTTGGGAAGTCTTGTGCTTAGAACCAACGTCTACACCATTGTTTACCTGGAGCAAATGGCTCCCTATCATTGTTTCACTGTTAACTGATCAATTTGAGCATTGGAAGTCTAAGTACAATGATTTCACTGGCTCACAAGAGCAATAAACGTACATTTGATTACTGATTCATGACATCATTGAAATGAACTATTGTGAAACTTATTTGATTACTGATTTTACTGGTTACTCGCTGAGCTTCTAGCTCACCTCCAAAAATATTTTATTTCCCCTCCACAGGGCTCGAGGCGAAGGAAACATTTGTATTAAAGTTCTCCGTGTGAATGGTTGGATGATCTCTTGTACCGTTGGAGTTTTAGATTTATCTTGTGTAATATTTGAGACTGCGATTGTACTTGTACTTATGTGAGAACTGAGGACCTTTGTCTTATTCGGGAAATTAGTACTGCATGTATCTCTTGAGGTTTTAGTTTGTAGTTTAATAAAATTTGTCGAATAATTGATGTGCATTTGAGATTTATATTGTAATTTATTTGGGGACTGTAGTGAATGACTGAGTCTAAGCGAGAGCTGGGTAGGCGGTCTGCCGAACCCTTTGGTTCGCCTTAGGTGAGGTGGGGCTGTCACAAGTGCGATAAATTTTAACCCCATACTTTGCATATCTGGGTAATATTTGGAAATACTCGGTTTTCAAGGCATCAGAGTTAGGTTTGGTTGGGGTTATTCTATTTTGTTTAACTCGAAGGACAAAGAACACTTGGGACTTTGTGAAGTTTCAGTTTATGACCAAAAATTTGTCCAAGATGTCATTCGTTTAGATGGCTTTGTTATTCTAATTTTTTAATTTGTTTAACTATGTTGAAGATAAAGAAGTGTTAAGAGCAATTTCTAACATAATATGTTGCAGTTGGAAAGGGACAAATAATTGTAGGGGACAAAAACCAATTACTGAAAATAATGTAGTTTGAGGAGCCCAATCAAATGACCGGTTAGAGAAAGAAAACCTCCACCTAATGGGATGCAACGAGTCGAGCTATAGAGAGTTGCACATGAAACATGAAAATCTGACATAAGTAGAGAATAATTTATTTGGTGTGACTACGAGGAATCTAGCATAGAGGTGTAGATTGATTACTAGGAGAGGTAAACCGCGCTTCGCGCGGTGGAATATAAAATGCGAATGCCCATGAAGGGTTAAAATTATGTAAATAGGAGTTGGGATTGCTGATAAGTAAATGTAGATCAGAAATTATATTGGAAGTACATGTTTTGGTTAACAAACGAAAACCATGGGAGAAATGTAAAGAGCTAACTAATTTGGTAATCAAAGATTCAAATATATTAAAGGTAAAATGTATGATGCCATGGATACATGATTTCTATGCCGTTGATTCCGAAAATTAAAACAGTAAGGGATGTACGGGACTGGGGTATGAATACAAGTATTTCTCCTTGGTGAAGACCATGATCATCAACAAATTTGTTCCAGTTTTGGTGAAATCTGTTGTCGGTCATTCCAATGATATAGTTTTTAGTTCCACTTGTGAGGACCATAGTTGGGGTTCTTGATTCATGTAATCTTGGATGAGCATGCTCGGGAACTTCCTGGAAAAGAAACAAATTTGTGTAATAAAGATAAAAAAAGGAGAAGTGGATTAGAAAACCATGGATATGTTTAACGGGAGAAAACGCACACCATTGAATACTTAGCATCGGAAGAAAAAATTTGGTAAAAAGCATCTAATGCCATAAGATCGTGAGAGAAGAATCGATTGATTGACGAGGTGATCAAAGTTGCACTCGGCTGGCTTTTGATATCTTCTGTAATGAAAGGAAAGAATGTGTGAGTGCATATATAACATAGGAACACAGTATAAGAGCAATAGAATTGTAGCTTCCTTGTGAAACGAAGAATTCGTAAGGGATCATTGATAAGGGCAAGGTCCAGCGTGTCCAGATTTGTAGACAATTGCTCGAGAAAGTCAGTGCATCATATATGAAATCTGATCTTTTTCGCAAGAAAAGCATGTCATTTAGGTCAATATAGTTGTGTTTGCAAAAAAGGTTCCATTCGCCTCCAAAACAATGATCTGTGATTTTTAGACTCCATTCAGCAAGGCCATGTTTAACTGTAATGGTCTGTCCTTCTGCAAAGCCATTATATTGAAACATTTCCACAGGAATGTCCTGCGAATAGAAGAGATCTGTAAATATATGATAAACGTAATCCAAGAGCCAGAATTGGTTATTAAAAGCACCTGGTTCTCCATATCTGTGCAAAAGAGTACATAACACCAAGGCTGTCCATTTAATATTCGAGTAATCTTTGGAGGATCTATGGGAAAAAGAAAAACAATAAGATTTTCATGTATTTTATAACAGTGGTGTAATCAGGAAAGGATACTTGCCTTGGGGGACGAATGCCTGTGAAGAAATAAGGATGATATTTTGCAACCATTGTTTAACCGAAGCAAGTGAAAATAATGATGGTTCACCCATGCACGTAAATACCATGGGGAAAGCCTCTGCAAATTTTTGTTTAATGAGTTGTGAATAATGGCAATAGTAGATTTGCATTGGTTTGAAGAAAGATTCAATGCTAAAACTAATAAAGTTTCAGTAATAATGCGTAGTGGTGAAAAAGAAGAATAATAATGATGAATTGGAGTAAAAAAAGAAAGAAATTAGACCAGACTCATGAATAGAAAAGTGCCAACGACAATGCGAAAAGCATTACTTTTATAGTAGAATTATCATGAAAGTTGAATTGGCATTGGTTTAACAAAATTGCATAAGGTGGCAGTTTTGGTGAAACAAGAATGTGAAGTGGCTATATTCATGTCAAAGTACATACAAAAAGAGGAATGGTTGAATTTCGTGAAAAAGAACATTGAAGAAAAAATGAGAGGCAGAAATTTGTAAAGAATGATGAAGTATTGTGAATTTGTACGTTCATAGCACGTTCTGTTATATTTGAATTTCGGAAAAGAAAATGCAGAGGCATAAATTTTGTAATCATTGCCAAATGCTAATTTGAATTGTGCTGACTATTAAAGTTTGAATTTGAAAGAGGAAAATATATATGTTTGTAGGGTTGATATCAAATTTGATAGAATTGGTTTACCTTTATTGCATAGATTTTAGTTTTTTCTTCCTATTATGGTAGTTCATCTCCTTTCTTTATTTTCAATATAGTCCTATAATTTGGAAGTAAAATTTATGTCCCCTCTATTTATTTATTTATTTAATAAAATTTAGTGGTGGAGTTCTCCCTGTATATGGGGTTAACCGCTTAAAAAAAAGAATTATTAGTTATAAATTTTGCATTGATGATGAATCACTAGTTTGTATTCTAGTGGCCTAAATTTAGGCATGGTACTATAGAAATATGACAAAAGTAGGAAATGATTGATTTAATGTGAAACCGAAGAATCTATTATAGGAGTGTAGATTGGGTATGTGCCACATTGTAAGGTGGTTGAATGGTAAAAAATTGAAACACACAAAGTGGGTAGTTAAATGCATAAATGAATAAGTAAAAATTCATGATAGCCATTGGGGAATTCATCTCCAAAGCCACGGAGAGCAAGACTCTTGCAGTGACCGTATGTGATGATGACCATGTAGATTTAGCGTAACATCTAGCCCAATTCTTGATAATGTCAAAAAAAATGCAAAATGCAGAATGCAAAATGCAAAAATGAGTACTTCGAAGTTAGAACCATGACATCCAGAGATGGAAGGATTAGGGCGGGAACTGTCATCAAACAGACTGTTCCCAAGCTGTCCTCTCACAATCCCAGGCCAAAGGACTAGAAATAGTCATGTCAACTAGTTTTGGGAAGGGGGAAAAATGACATCGCTTGAATTGGTAATGGACAAAAGAAATTGATGCTTCTGATAGACCTTGTCACAAAGCCTTAACTCCGTTCCACAAAATCCCACGCAAATGAATTGTTAAACAAAAAGGTCATTTGCTTTTCCTTCACAATAATTGCCAATTTTCATTTATCCACAACACCAGAAAATGGAAGCAAAAAGAGAATACAAGAAAGTGGCTGGAGGCAAAACAAGAAAGTGGCTAGAGACAGACTAGGGATAGGGGAAAGCAGGGGAAATACAATTGCGATGAAAGTATATTACAACAAAAAGAAGGAAGAAGTAGCGACATAAGGGTAGAGTTTTAGTGGTGTGAAATCTAAAAGGGCTTGGGAAAGGTGAATCAAAATTGTGAAGTGGAATGTTGGGGCATCCGGAGAAGAGAAAAAGCAGGAAACACCCAAGTAACAAAACAGTAATGGTATAACATAGCTTTCGAATTTTGACATGGTCATGGAGTGTTTGACAATGTTGTGAATGAATAGGTTAATTCATTTTTAATGGTTTTGGTGGAACGGAATGTTTACTAGTCTCGAGTAGTAGAAAGTAGGTATTTTGGTGGCCAACATAGAGGAGAATAGGTGAGGAAAACTTAATGCGCCAAGTGATTGCAAAATTGTGTGAATGGGATAGGGAGTTGCTTGGTAATAATATAATAGGCATGCTGGTTGTTTGTGACGACCCCACTTCTCCCAAGGGCGAACCCAAGGGTATCGGCGGGCCACCTGCCTAGCTCGCGCCAGGACTCAAAACTTAAAGCAATAAAACTAGATAAATCGAAAGAGCACTATATACAATATATACAATCCCAAAAGTTATATTTACATCTTCAAAAGTCTCGAGTCAAACTACTCTAATACATTATAACCACAACCAGCAGAAGATAGACCCTAAGAAGGGTCCTTATACAAACCACCAAAACAAAAACAAACATCCTAACTGTTCAATTATTACAAGCCAATCTAACTATACTAGTATACGAGCCAAAAGTCCCCGCGTCGGCCCCTGCTAAGGAAAACAAAAGGAAAGGGGTAAGCTATATGCTTAGTAAGTAAACAGGGGCGAAAGCATAAATTTCACGTAACAACAGTTACACAGTAAGAGTAAAGCAAAAGCAGAAAAGTAACGTTGTGACGGCCCCACCTCTCCCTAGGGCGTACCCCAGGATTCGGCGGGTCGCCTGCCCAGCTCTCGCCGGGACTAAGTCGTTCACTACATTCCTCAAACAGATTACAATATAAATCTCAAGTATACATCAAATGGTCCACAAATACACATCCGTCTCCAATAATTACATGTCACAAATGCAGCGGAAACTAATCCCAAATATACATAAAATAATTCCAAATCCAAAATTGTACAAAGTTTAGGCCATCCATACACGTGCACAAGTACTACAAGTCCTTCCTTCGCCACGAGCCCTGTGGAGGGGAATAAAATAGTTTTTGGGGTGAGCTAAAAGCTCAGCGAGTAACCAGAAAATCATTAATCAAATCGGTTTCACAAAGTTCATTTCAATGATGTCATATAGCAATGATGTCATAAATTAAATGAAAAATCCGGAAACAACTACATCATTTGCAAAACAGTAAATATGGATTATCAATAATTCAAGAAACATTTACAATGGAAAGCGATAGTAACATTCATGAAAGGATACATTCATTCTCCTGACATTTCCTCGCTCTATTTGGTCATTCATTTCATTTCATTCACCCCGTCCCTGGCTTTTGGCCAGGCTCCACCAACCTACATAGGTAATACTCGAGTATACCAAACGTTCACCCAAGTTCCTAATCGCCTGACCGAGTCCGCTTCTGGCTCAAGACGACCGTAACAAGGGCAATGGCCAGTTCAGCCCAAAAGGCTTACATTCATGCGCGAGTAACATTTCAATCGAAAAATTTCACATTTATCGAGGTCGAGTGCGATAAAGTACACACTCGCCTCGAAAACTCGTTTTGGAAATCATTATAAGCGCTTAACACGTTATCAACCAAAATACAAGTCATGAAGTCAAGAAATATAGCAAACAAGGACACTCAAATGCCAGCACACATGATATGCAAGAAAACATTTCAAAAGTGACTTTGGAAATAGTTCAAAAGTAAATAATGTAAGAAACGGTTCATAAATAACTTTAGAAGTAGTTTGAGGTCACTCACCTCCATGGCTCAGAAATCATCCATCATATAACATTGCCTTGCTCAAATCCAAGTCTTAGATCACAAACTCAAAGCAATCAAACCTTTAAAACTTCGGACAGCACTTCCCCTAAATTTGCTTACTTTCCCAGCCATCATGGCTTCATTATTTCCTCAGCCAGTTCCAAAGTCACACAAATAAGTTCATCCAATAGCCATTCAGCAGGCTCCAAGTAGTACTAGCACAAGTCAAGCTAGGGAAAGTCCGGAAATGAAAGTTAAGCTCAAAACCAGAAAAATAGTTTTGACGTCATTTTACGGTAATGGTACCAAAGGTGGTACGATTGTCGGATGAAGGTGAAAGACCCACCGTTTCGAAGCTAAGAGTCAGGGTTACAATATTGCAGAAGGTCACTCAACCCAGTTTTGAGTGCAAACAGGTCAAAAAGGCAAGATACCACATCAAAAACGTAAAACAGATTCACCAAAACGCATTCTAGCGGAAACATCATAACTCAGGCTCTACAAGTCCAAATCCAGAAATTCCAAAGGTATATGGTAGCTAATACATCAAGCTACATTTCATCAGAAGACCGCAAAGGCCAAATCGTGCATTTTCATGATCGAAAATGGAAGATTACACGAAAACAAAAATCTGGGCGCGAAACAGGTTTCAAAAACAGTCAAGGTTATTTCGGTCATTTCACATGCTACAGTGGTCGGATCAAGCTGAAAAGTTACAGGAACATATTTTATAGCCTTGGCTACAACTTTCATGTTTTGGCCAAAATCTAATTCGGTGAGAATCAAGGTGAAAGGTCACGGTCAAATTGAGTGAAAAGGCAACCCTGTTCGCAGCACCCCTTCCCAGACCAGTCTCAGTATTTCTGACTTTTCTCACTCCACACTACTCCAATTGACCTGAAATTTTACAGGCACCTTTAAAACATCCATACCTACAACTTTCATGTTTTAAGCCAAGGCCAATTCGGCCTCTAACCATGAGATACAAAACCGGACAGAATTGGGGATATAAAACCCTAACTTTCTCAAATTCCTTCCAAACCCAAAATTGGTTGCAATTACCAATCATTTACACCTACTAGAGTTATTAAACATCATTTGCAACCATCATGGACAGCCACAACATCATGATCAAATTAAACCAGAAAAATCATCAATAAATCAAAAACTTCACCAATTCATCTCAAACCAAGAAATAAACCACAAATTTCAGCACTTTAGCTCCCACTAGGCATAACTTAAGCTTCATTAAGTGTAGGAGGAAGTTCAATCACCACTCACCTTAACAATAGAAGAGAGAGAACAACTAGGCACCTTAACCTTCCAAATAACTCCACCAAGAGCTTCAATCTTCCTTAGCTAGCAAGTTTTATGGAGTGATTTGCAATTTAATCGGTTGGAACTCAAGATTTGAGCAAGAATTGAAGTTGAAGTTGAAGAAACTCTCTCTTGTTCTTTCCTCACCAAAAATTTCGG